TAAAACACTTCAGAAATGATGTAGGGCTTTTTTGGAAGGAAAAAAGAGCTTATAAAAAAATATTAAGTGTTTTCAACTCTAAAGGATAAGATATTTTGGAATAAAGAGTGAAAAACTTTAAAAACAAATTGTGAAAATTTTTAAATAGAAAAATTTCAACTTTAAAGGAGATTTTTTATTAGGAAAATAAGTAGAAAGATTTCAAGGCCTTCTGGTATATTTTTAAATTTTTGGAAGATTTTAAGACCTCTAGGCATATTTTCAAATTTTTGAAAGATTTTTATGACCTCTAGGTTAAATTTTAAATTTTTAAATGATTTTTAAGACTTTCAGGCAAAACCTTAAATTTTTGAAAATTTTGCAAGACTTTCGAAAGAAATTTTAAATTTTTGAATGATTTCCAAGGCCTTCGGGCAAAACCTTATAAATTTTTAAAACCTTTGAGCAAAGTTTTTAAATTTTTGAATAATTTTCAAGACTTTCAGGTTGATTTTTCAAAATTTTGAATGATTTTCAAGGCCTTCAAGCAAAACCTTAAATTTTTGAAAAATTTTCAAGACTTCCAAACAAAACCTAGGATTTTTTACCCAAGACCTTCAGGCAAAACCTTAGACTTTTCAATGATTTCCAAGGCCTTCGGCAAAACCTTAAATTTTTGAATAACTTCTAAGATCTCTGGGCAAAACCTTAGACTTTTGAAAATTTTCCAAAACCTTTAGGCAAAACCTTAGATTTTTGAATGATTTTCAAGGCCATTAGGCATAATTTTAAATTTTAGAATAATTTCCAAGACTATGAGAAGAACTTTAATTTTTTAAATTGGTTTTAAAACCTCCAAGTAAAATCTTGAATTTTTTAAAAAAGACCTTCAGACAAAATATTAAATTTTTCAAAAACCTCTTGGTAGAACTTTAATTGGTTGAATGATTTTCAACTCTTTCGAGTAGAGTTTGTTTTAGTGTTAAGATTTATAAGACCTCCACATATTCTCTAAGTCTTCTAGGCAAGATTCATAAGTTTTCAAGCTGAATCTATTTTAGGTTTAGACTTATAAGACCTTTAGGCATGATCTTAAGTTCTCCGAGTAAATTTCATAAGTTTTTTTAGCTAAATTTTTTTTAGGTACAGAGATTTATAAGATCTCTAAGTATAATCTTTAAGTCCTCCAGGCAAAATGGTGTAAATTTCAAAAGTTATGGAGCCTATAATAAAATGAGTCTTTTCTAAACAAAAAACAAAAAGAAAGAAGCAAGCAAAATCCTTTCACCATTGGCTTCTAATAAAAATGATGTTTTTGGTCTTTGCATTATTTTTTATTTTTAGAAATATGCAAAGAGGGGTAACTACAGACATCTAATATTGTCTAAGTAGATATCGACTAGTTATGAAGCTCTTAAAATCCAACCCAGTTCAAATATAATATTTTCTTGAATTTTGACAAGTTCTTAAAATCGATTTATGACCAATTTGACGTAAAATGCTCTAATGTCAAGCATGGTTAAATCTGGTCAAACAAAGTTAAACTTGATCGAAATTGATCAAAATTAGTCAAATCAGATTGAACTTTGATCAATTTTTTAAAATTTGGAACCAAATGGGACAATAGGGTTTGAAATTGATATTTGTTATTTTAAAGCATTGAAAAACTTGATTACACTTCGGGAAGGATAAAATATTGAAATAGCCTATAGTGGTATTTTGTAATTTGGCCCTTTTGAAGTTAGATTTTCATGAAAACTTTTATATCATAATTAATTTTTTTTAATGATATTTGGTGTTTTAAAATACTAATCACACCTTAAAAGGTGTGAAATTACTAAAATATCTTTAAGGGTAGTTTCGTAAATTGACTTATCCAAGGTCAAAATTTCACGAAAGGCTTTATATGATTATTTGATATTATTTGACGATTTTTTGTGTGTTGAAAACCTTGATCGTTCAAAAATTATAAAATCACCAAAATATCTCTTAGGGGTACTTTTATAATTTAACCTTCCCGATGTAGATTTTTCACAAAATGTTCTAGATTATGTTTATAGATTATTTGATGATATTTTCTGTATTTAAACCTTGGTTGCACTTTCGGAGGTATGAAATTACAAAAATACCCATCAGTGGTAATTTTGTAATTTGACCTTCTTGAGATCAGATTTTTTCAAAAACTTACAATTAATGATTTTATAATATTTCAAAATTTTTAGTGCTTTAAATTCATAAAAATGAAAAAGGGATCATATTTCTCCAAAAAATTACTTAGAAACCGAAAATTTTTCTAATGGGCGTAGAATGGTATTTTCACCTAGTTTCAGCAACATTAAAACTACAATATTTGGCCTTGAACATTTTGAGCCATCAGATGATCTTGAGGGGCTAGATCAAATGGTGAAAGGTGGCTCCTTTTAAAATAAAATAAGTGAGAAAAGATGACAATTAGATGAAGATTTGATCCAAAAGCTTTCATACATTTAGGATGAGATATTTACTCTTCATAAAGGGGGTTGGGAATTGATGGTTGGAAAGGGGAGCTAGGATTCACGAAAAATAATGAAGAAAAAGAAGAAAAATAGAAAAAATTCTTGGAGAGCTTGGTAGAGGTATAATTCTTACAAGCATTTCCTTTGCATTTCATTTTATTCCATTGATTTTCATATTATTTCATTGTGTTTATCTTTCAATTTTTTTGTTTTTGTGAAGAAAATCCATTGTTTTCATCTATTTTAATCCAAGCTTGGTTCAAGAACTCATCCAACTAAACAATAGTTTGGATTGAAACCAAAAGGATCAAGTAACAAAAAACCAATAATCCATCATTTAAAGCCATTAGAGGTTTAGCCAACCTTGTTTCTCTCAAGGTAGAACCTCTTTTTGGTTCCCTTTAAATGTTTTTTGTGCTTCTAATATTGTTTATAGTGATTCGATTCTTAGTTTACTTGTTATTTGCATGAATTTCGATTAGTTTAGTGATGTATGTTTGGTGCTTGGCTAATTTTCTTGTTTTGATGGTTTCCTTACTATTTTAGTTTGTTGCATGTTTGGATAAAATTTTTTGTATGATAAGAATGTCATTATATTATGGTATTATGAAGTTTTTATGCATGATTTGAGCAAATAAAATGATGGAAGATTGTAAGAGTTGCCATGGAGTAATGGGCCAAGCCATTCCAATGCTTGGCAAAAACTTATTCTTTGCATAATGGCCAAATGTTGCTTGATTCATCCTTGTATGCGTGTGTTTTTGTTTTGTTCTTTTTATTTTTTTTATGTGTTTGATCAATTTTCCAAGAAATGAAAATGTTAGTTTAGTAGACTTTTTAGTGATTTTGTGTTTATTTGCATGAATTTCAAAACAAAAAAATATATAGTGGAACATTTCTTGAAAATTTTAAAAATCTTATTGTTTGATCCATTATCATCATGTGTTTGCATGTATATTTAGTTTGTAATATAGTTTAAAAAATACCTAGATTTGTAATAAATATGTTCCATAGTCATATATTTTTCTTACACGAATATGCCATTGTAAAATTAAAACACTACTTAACATGCCACATGTAAAAAAAAAAAAAATTTCACATGTACATGTACTTTACAACAATAACAACGTCCTTTTTCAAATTTAGGTTCAAGTAATGTAAAATAAAAAAAAATTAAAAACTTAATTAATTGTAATAAAATGATTAAAACTCAAATAATTTTTGAATTTTTATTAAAATTTTTTTTCTTTTATGCCAATAAAAAAGAATTAAGAAGGGATCAAATTACACTAGTGCAAAACTTTTTAATTTTGCACTTTTTTTTATCAATGATTTTGATAGATTCAAAAATAAGATTAAATTATTTTTTCTTTTTTTGACTTATTTTTCTTGTTCCTTAAATTTATTGAAATTAATAATTAAAAAATTTTAAATTTTAAATTTTTTTATGTAACTTAAATCCCTTTACCAAAGAATTTGGCTATAAATCTACCATACATATATTTTCATCTCATGTTACCTAGAATTGTGATATGTGAATTGCCACATATACAACCTTCATTTACCATGTAGGACCATTAAGTTTTCAAGTTATTCAATTTTAATTATCCCTCTTTTATATCTTTTCTCTTAGGGTTTAAAATTAAGAATGTTTCATCTTCCATTTTTGATTTAATGCCTCACAGATATCTATATTCTTCTTTCATTTATTTCAAAAAAAATTATTCTATTTTCTTAGTCAAGAGATAATGAATCTTTCTTTACAGCTTGAAATAAGATGAATTTGTATGATTCAAATTCTCTATGTAAGTAACAGATTGTCTCCTCTACTCATTATTATTTATTTATTGCTTTTAATTTTCATTTAAAAAAAACCATTCATCTAACATTTTATTATAAGTATAAATATTTTTTACTTTAATTTTTTTTAAAAAATTTGTTCTTTATATTGAAAAGTTTAGTGAGTACATTCATCCATAAATATGATTTCTTAAATGGATATTAATTACCAAATTCTAGGTTATAACTTTTTATCTCTTTTTTTTTTTAATTTTTTTCTATTTCTTGCATTTAATTAAAAAATTTTTCTCATTTTTTATTGAAATCTAAAAACAGAACAGTCTTCCTCTTATTTGAAAAATCCATTTTAACAAAAAAATTCATTATCTTATAAGGAATTATCAAATTTAAAATTTATTTAATAATTATCTAATCACCTATTTTTTATTTAAGTTATTTGTAATCTCTTATGTAATGTAGGTAGTTTTTTCTTTTTTCAATTATAAAAATTATATTTTTGTTATATTATTATCATTGTAATATAGTTTTGATTTAATAGTAAAAATTTTAATAAAAAACATGAAATAAATCACAACAATTAATTAATAATTTTTTTTATTTTTTAAAAATGAAATGAATAAGAGATATTATTTTAGACTATGAATTAATTCATAATTTAATTTAGATTTATTTATCTTTTTAATTATAAAAAATGTGACTTTTTTTTTTTTTTTTGTATTTCTAACCATGATAACTTTCGGCGCTGGACAAGGTCATCTGATTTGATCAGTAGCTCCTCTCTTTCCTCTTTCTCTATCCTCTTCTCAAAGTAGTAAAATCATTTCTCTCTTTTGCTGCAACTAAACGAGACAGCTTCGATTGCCACAAGCAATGGCGGGTTCCACCGGCGGAACCAGTTCTTCCAATCCCTCATTGAACCCTTCTGCTCCCAAAATCCTATTAGCCAAGCCATCAGCTGGGCCGGTCCCTGGTAAATTTGGACGCGGAGGTGGTGAAGATGAAACGGCGCCACATCGGGCCCGTCTCCCTCCTGTTGGTTCCCTCAACCTCCTTTCTGATTCCTGGGAGTTCCACATCGATCGCTTTTTGCCCGTAAGAAAAGAAAAAGAAGTTTACGTTTCCTTTTAACTCTTTATGTTGTATTTGGATGCAAAAGTTTCAGATGCAATGGAACTGAAAATAGTTCTTTTAAGCTTAAATTATTTTCGGTTTTCAAGTCTCCATTTGATTGTTTATTTTAGCTATTTGAAGTTTTTTTGAGCAAATGGTAGAAAGGAAAAGTATAATTAATTCAAAATGAATGAATGAATGAATGACTAAATGTAATTCTAACTGGTTAGATATAAAAGTAAAATCCTGCATTTTGTTATTTAAAAATTTAAATTTGTGAAATTTATTATTTGCTTTTTTATCCAAATGCTCCTTTATGTTTTTTTTTTTCCTTGTTTTTTTAGTGAAAAGCATGTAGCAAAGATAGCGACCATAAATAGCCTAAACTGTGGGTATTTCAAAGAGGTAAAGAATCAGATAGTTTTGTTGGCTTAAATTTTTTGGTTGCTTTTTTGTTAATTGCAGTTTTTGACTGAGAATACTGATTTTACCGTGGTTGGAGTCATCGGTCCACCAGGTGTAGGCAAGTCCACGATCATGAACGAGCTTTATGGTTTTGATGGGATCTCACCTGGTTTGTATCCTTTCATAATTTATTCTTTTGTTTCACTTCTTCAATAAGCAATATGAAAGTGCCTTATTATCTTCCATTGAAAATTGTTTTGATTGTTGAGTTAATTGATGAATTCTCAGATCTCCAGTATTGGGATAGATTGAGAAAACACAGAAATTGTAGTTTTCTGATTACTATATGTTAATTTGTTATGCTAAGGCTGTACTAGTTCTTGGAATCGTGCTTATCTTCTTGGAGTCCAAATTGGTGATCTACTTTATCACTTGTTAGTTTCCTATTAGGAATTCTAGTCCTAGTAGGTTTAGGAGTAGCCTAGGAATTCTTTTTAACTGCCTATCTGATCTTCAAATTTTAGCAGTTGATATCTACATAGGATTGAGATTTTAAAAAGAAGGCTGGAAGTGAGGTGTAGGCTATATTGTGATATCTTTTCTATGTGGCTCCTAGTGATGTATCTTACATGGATTAAAACTTTAGCCATTTATCTTACAATAGGAGCAAAAAAGTAGCCAATTAGAAAAGAGAAAACATGGGAACAAGCCTTACATTTAACAATTTGAATAAAGTTCGACAATTTAGCTTAGGAGTATGAATCGTTTGGCATAGAAACTGATAACTGAAGGAAGAAATTATTACCTTTTAGTAATTGGAATTACAACTCTTGAAATATTGTGTAAAGTGAAAAAAAAATAGAAAAGTACTAGAGATGTTGGCCGGGTAGGAAGATGAAAGAATGGGAAAAAAAGGAAATGGAAACCAATTAATGAACCCAAAGAAGAGATGAAAGCTTTGTTCAGTTGTGTAAATGTGTATTTTGTTTGAAATGTCTAACTTGAGCAAATATTTCATGGACAGAGTAGTGGGTTCTGGGGCCATTGTTAAGTGTTCCTGTAGTATCTATTCTACATAACTGGGTACAGAAGAAACTTTGGAGTTGTGGCAAAAATTGGTTTCCACTCATTATTAAAATGAAATAAAATTTGAAGGGGGAAAATTGAAATACTTTATTATGTAATTAACCTTACTCCCATGTATTATTAATATATATGGGAATACGTCAACATTGGCCAAATGAAGAAAATATATATATTATATATAGAATTTAGTTTAATTACCGGTAGAGCAATTAATAATTGAACATGTGAAAAAATAGTTTAACATATAAAGTAAGGGGAATGATATACATTGCAATATATAGTGTCAAACTACAAATTAGTGTAAAAATATGTACTATATTTAGTATTTGAAGAAAATTGCATCATGTTCAGATTTAGGGATCATATCTTAAGGCTTTAAACCTTGAGCAGAACCATAATTATGCAAGTTGATATTATGTTGTGAACAGTGTTTTAGGTACTATGGCAGCTGATAGGGAAAGAATGCATACTATCTTCCTAGGCATTTGTGCTTCAAAAGAAAACAATTGTGAAATTGTGATTTCATTGATGAAAAAACTTACCTTTTGATAGAATTTTGATCAATGAAATTATGAGAATTTTGGCTTTTAGAAACTTGGATGCCAATAAGATATTGTGCATTCTTTTGTGTGAAAAAACTAAGAAATAAAATTGTGTGAAAAACTAATAGTAAAACTGAATGTATATTGAAAAATTTCTTATAAAGAATTGAACAAGCACCTTAGGTTTATATACAACTAACTAGTGGGTAAATTAAGAAACTAAATCTTCCTAAAATTGATCCTATAATTGAGGGATTGTCTATACTAATTTTTTGTCCTTAATTCTAAGGATACAAATACTTAATTATAGAGATGCAAATATAAATATATAGACTATAGGATTACAACCAGCTATCAATAAGTGTTTTCTCACACTCTTTTTCAAGCTAGAGAATAGGTTTTTTCCATTCCCAGCTTGGAAATAATTTCTTGAAATGTTGCACTGTTGAGACCTTTAGTCAACACATCTGCAAGTTGACCCTTAGTTGATACATACGGTGTACAAATCAACCCACTATCTAGTTTCTCCTTTATGAAATGTCGGTCTACTTCAATGTGTTTTGTTCTGTCATGCTGCATAGGATTGTGTGCAATGCTTATTACAGAGTTGTTATCGCAGTAGAGTTTTATTGGTCTATCCCACTTGATCTTTAAGTCTTCTAAGATAATTTTTAACCATAGTAGTTAACAAATTCTTTAAGCCATTACTATGAACTCTGCTTTAGTACTTGATCTTGCCACCACATTATGTTTTTTACTCCTCCAAGTTACAAGATTACCACCTAGGAAAGTGCAGTAGCCTAAAGTGAATCTTCTATCAGTTACTAAATCTGCATAATCAACATTTGTATATGCCTCTAGAGCCAACCTTGAATTTTTTTTGAATAAGATACCTCTCCCAGGATTGGTCTTCAAATAGTGCAATATAAGACGCCTATATGTGTTCTTTTTTAGGACTATACATAAATTGACTTATCAAACTCACAGTATATGCTATATCAGGTCTAGTATGTGAGAGATAAATGAGTCTTCCAACTAATCTTTGGTACATCTCTCTATCTACAGTAGCATCTCATCAGCTTCTCCAAGTTTATGATTAGGATCTATAGGGGTATTTACAGGTTTACATGCGAGCTTCCCAATTTCTTTCAAAAGATCCATCACATATTTTTGTTGTGAGATTGAAATACCATGCCGTGAGTGAGCTACTTTAATTTCTAAGAAGTACTTCAATCTCCTTAGCTTTTTTATCTAAAATATTCTAGACAAACACTATTTTAAAGATTCTCTCTTTTTCATCATCTCTGGTTACAATTATATCATCAACATACAATAATAGAACTGTGACTCTCACCGAATCAGAGTGTTTGATAAACAATGTGTGATCTCCTTGACTTTGCTTATATCCCATTGCTAGCATCATTTTGGCAAATCTCCCAAACTAAGCCCTAGGAGACTGTTTAAGGCCATATAAAGCCTTTTTCAATTTGCATACTTTGTTTGCATCTAAATGACCTCCAAATTCCGATGAAACTTTCATATATATTTCTTCTTCCAAATCACCATGTAGAAAAGCATTCTTTATATCAAATTGTTGAAGCTGCCAATTGTAATTTGCAGCCAATGATAACAAAATCCTAACTGTATTCATTTTGGCAACTAGAGCAAAGTTTCTAGATAATCCACTCCATAAGTTTGAGTATAGCCCCTAGCCACCAACTTGGTTTTATATCTTTCAATAGTACCATCTGCCTTGTATTTTACAGTGAAAACCCATTTACATCCAACTAGATTTTTTTCCTTTAGGCAATTCTACCAGTTCTCATGTCTTATTTTTCTTAGGGCCTCTTTTTTATTTTCATGGCTTGCCTCCATTTCTCACTGGATAATGACTCGGATAATGTAGTTGGAATAGAAATAGTATCTAAGCTCACAAGGAAATTTTTGTGGGATGGTGAGAATTTTTCAAATAACACAAAATTAGAGATTGAGTATAGTGGATGCTTAGTACATTCTTTGGTTCCTTTCCTAATGGCAATAGGTAGATCATAATCACTAGTTATAGTTTTAGGAGATTCATGCTCATTTTGAGAAACAGAGTCAAAGATTGTAGTTACCTCATTTCTAGAGTTAGGATCAAGTTCTTGGACTTGCATTGGTTCAGGATCTGGAACTTTACCTCTTGAGTACACCTATAATTCCTTCATACAATTAAGAACAATATTATCCTTTGTCACATCTTTTGTGTTTGGAATAGGTTCAGACTCAAATTCAGTGTTTGACTTAAATTCAGAAGAAATAGGGTTCGACTTAGGAGAATTAATGGTGAAAATGTTGAAGAGGAGGACAAATCAAGCAAAAAGAAATCTTTATCCTTATCTTCCATGAATGAAGTCTTCCCCTGAAAATAAGGTTGAGTGAAAAATGGTTTACTTTCTTCAAAAGTGATATCTGCAAACGCATAGAATTTTTTGGTAAAAGGATGATAGCACTTATACCCTTTCTAAGTTGACGAATACCTTACAAAAATGCAGTTACTTGCTCTAGGATCCAACTTCCCCCTATTATGATTGTGAACATGAACAGATGATGTACAACCAAATATCCTACGTTTGAGGTTGTTTGCGGTATTAAAGTTGGGATAGAATTGTGAGAGTAGTTCCATAGGAGTTTTAAATCCCAAAACCCTTAAAGGTAACCTATTTATAATATGTGTGGTAGTGAGAACAACTTCCCCTTAGTAGGATTTGGGTATGTTTGCTTGAAAAAGTAAAGCTCGGGTTGTGGCTAGTAAATGACTGTTTTTCCTCTTTGCCACTCCATTATGCTGTGGAGTATTAACACAAGATGACTCATGGGTAATCTTTTCTTTTTGGAAATAGGTAGATAAACTCTGGTTGAAATAGTCTCTTGCATTATTAGACCTAAATCTCTTGATTTTCACTCCAAATTGATTTTGGATCATGTTTTGGAAGCTTAAAAATACACCATTCACATCTAATTTGAATTTAAGTAAAAATATCCAAGAGACCCTAGTACAATCATCTATGAAAGAAACAAACCACCTTGCACTAGAAATATTAGGAATTGTAAAGGAACCTCATATGTCATTATGAATCAAGTAAAAAGGAGTAGAACTTCTTCTATTGCTAACTGGAAGAGGCACATGTCTATGTTTTGCAAGTTCACAAACATCACAATGAAAATTTTTGGTATTTAATCCTTTGAACAAAGAAGGAAACATGTTTTTCAAAGTTCCCAAAGAAGGATGTCTAAGACGAAAATGATAAATCCAGATTTTTTCTTTATTGGGAGATTTTTTAAAAAGAAATGACAAAGGTAAACTATTCTTGATATTACTTGTGTTGTTTGATGTCTTAAGATAGTATAGTCCATCCTTCTCTATAGCAAGTCCAATCTTCTTCCTCGAACTCTAGTCCTGAAATTCACAATAAAAGGGGTAAAAAGTCACTTTGCAGTTTATGTCTCTGGTAGGTTTTTGTATAGATATCAAATTAGTAGACAATCCAAGAACATGAAGAAAATTTTTAAGAACAAACGAGGGATTAATTTGAACATCTCCTAATCTTGCCACTGTAGTAAGTGAACCATTTGCAACAACAATTTTCTTATTACTGGGACAAAGGGTATATGTACTAAACTTCTGTGAAGAATGCATCATATGGTTTGTGGCTCTTGAGTTAATGACCCAAGAACTCGTAATAGGGTTAACTGAGACATTTAATCCATGAGAACTAGAAGCTTTACCTGAACTAAAGACCTTACCCAAAGAACATACCCTAATAGGCTTTTCAAGAGTTTTCAATAGGCATCTTAGTTTCTCAATCTCTTCTTTGTCCAACTTTCTTTGTTCTCGAGACTTTTGTAGTACTCCGGTGGTTTTACCAGTTGTCACTTTCACAAATCGGGTAGTAGTGGTAGATTCTGCAATCTCTGGCATGGTTATCTTTTCTTGGACTGAAATGAGTCTTGATAGTAAAAGTTTAATCAAAGACGATTCTAGGTAATGAAGGCCAAAGGAAAAACATAAGACTAAAAGATTTAACAAGATTTGGCTATGAAAGCCTGAAATAGAATTCAACAATAAAGGCTGAAAAAATTTTCTTCCCAAGAAAAGCCTAAAGCTTTGATACCATGTGGAAAAACCAAGAAATAAAATTGTGTGGAAAACTAAGAGTGAAACTGAATGTATATTGAAAAACTGCTCATAAAGAATTATACAAGTACTTTAAGTTTATATACAACTAACTAGTGGGTAAACTAGGAAATTAAATCTTCCTAAAATTGATCCTATAACTGAGGGATTGTCTATCTTAATTTTTTGTCCTTAATTCTAGGGATACAAATACTTAATTCTAGGGGTATAAAGACTTAATTCTAGAGATTCAAATATAAATATACAGATTATAAGATTACAACTAGCTGTAAATAAGTGTTTTCCCACATTCTATATTCCTTTTTTTCTCTATCTATGGCTATGATACCTTGAAATACTATGAAAAACTCTAGAACAGCTCTTAAACTTGCTTTGTTCTAGTTCTGCAGTTCTCTGGAATTTCTGCCACTCTACCCCTTGGTTCTAGCCTTCTTTTGACATCAAATTTGTATTGAATCATACCTTAATTGAGTCCCAAAACCTAACTCTACTTCTAACAAAACCATATTAATTTTCTATGCCTAACCTGCAATAAATCTTAAGTAGGCATACTTTCTCATTTGTTCTACATCAAGCCAATTTCTATGATGCATATGGTATGCCATTTATCAGGCTTTACTCTACTAGTTGATCATACTTATAACAAACTAAGTGATCTCATCCTCTTCTTGGAAGACTTACCATATCCACAGTAAGTTTCTATGTTAAAAGAGGAGGACCATTTGTTGCTCTAATTGGTGCTTGAATGCCATGCTGTTTCTATTGAAGTTTAGATCTTTTTCTGCATATGGCTATTATCCAATAGGTAACTCTAGCATGCTAATTTGCAGGGACGCTGCCACCTTTTGCTATACAGTCGGAAGACACCAGAGCAATGGCAAGGCATTGTACCATAGGTATTGAACCAAGGATTTCTGCTGAAAGGCTTATACTACTTGATACCCAGGTTCCAAGTTTACTACTCTCTTTTGTTTAACTTTCCTTTTCCTTTTCGACAGACTGTAATGATCAAATGATATATGTATTTTCTTTTGAAGTATGTTTTGAATTTTCAAAATTCTAGTTAAGGCTATATGAAGAGAATTATGAGCTTTTCTGATGTTATTATAAAGTTCTCTTGATAGGAGGAGATTATGAGAAAGCTCTTCCCATCAATATACCTTTTAGAGGGGAAAAAGATGAAGTAGAAGAAAATTGAATACCTTTGATGCATTTCTATTTGATTATTTATGTTATTTTATTTTTTTGAATTACGTTTGGAAAGTATTGAACCTTGAAAGATTAATGGTTAGAGGTCATTTCCCATAATTGGATAGAACTTCTCCACAATATTTCACATATTCATGTTTTCTCCAAGTGCACTAATAAGATCAAGCTTGATGGCACTAGATAGTTGTTGGAAATTTTGTATCTAATAGCAAACTTTAAGAAAGTGACAACACCTGTGTCCTAAATAGGCATAAAAGTGATTCAATACAAAATAGGAATAAGCTACACAAAGTCTTCTGTGTCCTGAAATTTTTCTTTGTTCTTGTTTACCGTCGCCATTTATCAGTTTCATCTCCTTGCCAAATGAAGCCTTTTAGTTGAGTTTAAAACCTGCCAGTTGCCGTTGCTTATACTATATCTGTGTGCTTTCCTGACATGGAGATGTTATGCATGAGTGCCATTTACCTGTGTGCATGTTTATGTGATTGGAAAGGCATCCACTTTAGCTTTGACATCATTTACTTTAACATGTGTCTTTCTGTTTACATATCAGCCTACTTGTCGCATGGTTGATTGCCCTGAGTATGTCTGATCTCTATAGTCTTTTTGCCCCTTCTCCAATCCATTTTTCTGGTTTTACCTGCTGAGATGTTTAATTGGGGGTCATCATTATACATTCTTCTTGACGTGCAGTCTGTTTTCAGTCCTTCAGTTTTATCTGAGATTATGAGACCTGATGGCTCATCCACAGTTTCAGTACTAAGTGGTGAGTCCCTGTCTGCTGAGCTGGCTCATGAAATTATGAATATCCAGGTAACTAAATTGCAATCATTGCGCATTTTGTTTTAGATATCAATGCTCTATATTTCTTTTACATGATATTTTCCATCTTGCTATGATCTCACTTTGACAATAATCTAAAGTAAAATGTCTGGTGATATACATCTTTTTTTGGGATGCCGCAACAAATCTTTTTAGCTTGGTGTTCTTCTAGCATCCATTTGTCACATTTTGCTGGTGGTGTCTGAGGGAGTTCACGATAACAACATGTGGCACTTGATGTTGACGGTAATATTCTTGTCTTGACAACTTTACATCTTTGGTATGTGTCCATTGTGTCGATAGGACTGGTAGTCTGTTAAAATGGTAATTCTTATCAGTGGTATGACATTTAAGATGACCACAGAAGAAAAATGAGAGGAGAAAATCTTGATGACGTTTGCATAATAGTGTTATTTTGCCAGAGTTTACTAATTTGGATTTCTGATGGGAAAAACATGCAAGTCATTTACACTTGAATGTGCTATACAAACAAGAGGATAGGCAAAAGAGAATGCAAATCATTGACCTTATGGCCTTTGATTTAAAAGAGAAAATAATCCATATTCTGTCTCCAATTCTTTAAATGCTAAAGAAATAACTTGATTACTGGCCAAAAGGAAATAACTTAATAACCTGATTATGTATCTTTATGTTTTAAACTCTTGCAACAAATTATTGTTTATGCTAATTATTAAATTTCTTTCTCTCTGCAGGTTGACTTATTGAAACATGGCATTCCTGATCCATCTTCGATAACCCCTCTCCATTCACAGAGCTCTACATTGGGGCCTGACAAAGAGGTCAAAGATAAAGTTCATGAGGGTGAAGAGCATATGGCTACTCCTGTTTTTGTGCATACAAAGTAAGTTATATTTTCCTCAATGATACTGTTAGAATCATGTTGCCAATTTAAGAAATGAATAATAATACAACTTTTTAGTGGATGATACCTTGAATGACACTGCGAAGGAGGCTATATTTTGTCTTTATTAGCTTTAACGTCACAATCAACATTTACCATGATTAATGACTTTTCCATTATTCTCACTATTTCTATAGCATCGACCTCCACACCCTTGCCACTCTATTGCCACTCCTACATCATCTGTCACCACCTGCAGTACCACTCTCACTAAAATTGAGAATGTATTAGGATCAATGCTGCCTCTACAACATGTTAAGTGTAAGGATGGTGCTTGATAGTGTTTTGTAACTATTAATTATGAAGACAGCTTTTATAGGCTTTAAGAAGAAGTTTCTTGTGTGCTATCAACTATTATTTATGTAACTGGTAATCTTTTTTCTTTCTTTTGGATACTTGCAAATTTTATTTATCCTAAAAGAGGCAGATAAGCTGCTACTAGTATAAAAGTCTGCTATCAGCAGTAAAATCAGAAATTTTGACAACTTAATCAAACCTATCTAGCCCCCAAGCATTACTAAGCTCCCTGTTTCCCAAGCCCCCTAGCAATATTCCTAATACCATAGAGCTTCAAACGAATAGATGCAGTGATTAAAGAAAAAAGAACAGTGCCTGAATTTTCTTGCCCTCCATTAAGTCTTGTATTCCTTTCTCTCAAGACAAGGTGAATATGAGCACTCCATGCTATGTGAAGGATTACGGACTGTAGAAGATTTAAGAGTTAGTTAAGGAATAAAGTCAAATTCCTTATCTTTAGGAATAAGATCTAGTTCTTATTATTTTGAGTTTTTTTAACTTTCTGTTATCTTTTTCAATTTGAATTTTTTATCTTTTTGTTATCTGGTTTAGTCTATTTATTTTGTAGTTGTTTTCTGTGAAAATAAGAGACAAGATGAATTTCTGATTCTCAAAAACTAACACGGTATCAGAGCTTGAGAGTTGAGTCTAAATCGAAAATTTTTGAGATGGCAAAAACCGCCATGACCAAAGCCACCAGAGACTCGACAACTTCTGGGGATGATGTGGATGGCGCTTAGACCATCTCCTCTACACCATTTCAACAGATTAATTATATCAATTTGAATTCCTCTCTTCAATTAACCATCCATAAATGGAATGGTAAGAATTACCTAGAGTGGGCCTAGTGTGTAAAATTGGTGATTGATGGTAAGGGAAAGCTTGGTCATTTGATAGGTGAAGTGAAGAAACCAACAACAAACGATTCGATGTTGAAAGCATGAAGGTTTGAAAATTCCATGGTAATTGCCTGGCTTATCAATTCTATGGAATCTACAATTTGGAAACTGTTTATGTTCTTACCAACAGCCAAAGAAGTGCTGTTCATGATACTTATTCAGATTTGGAGAATTCATCCCAAATATTTGAATTAAAGACAGTTTTGGCAGTCCAAACAAGGTGATCGAGAAGTAACCACTCATTACAATGAGATTACAACTTTATGGCAAGAGTTGGATTTGTGTTATGATAAGGAATGGGACTTCACCAATGACGGCGTGAGATACAAAAAATGGATGGAGAATGATTGAGTCTACATGTTTCTAGTCAAAGGTTGAATTTTGAGCCAAAAACCACTGCCATCCATCCGAGATTTTTTCTTTGAAGTACAAAGGGAGGAGGCCTGACATAAGGTGATGTTGAATAGAGAATCACGGTGGAATACTGATTTAGAAAGCTCTGCTCTTGTATCAAAAGGACTTGACCAAGAAAGAGATAGAAGAAACATAAAAAGTCATGGTGTGATCAATATAAAAAGGCTTGGCACACTCGAGAAACATGTTGGAAATTGCATGGGAAGCCTCAAAACTGGAAGAAAAAAGCTAGTGGAGATAACAGAGCTTTCCAGGTGTCCAATACTGATCAAGGGCAACAAACTGCTTCAAAATGCTTCCTTTCACCAAGAATCAACTAGAGCACCTATACAAACTTTTCCAATCTCCCTCTTTCAATGTAAACTCCCTTTTCCAATCTCCATCTTTCAATGGCCCAAGGAAAAGTATAAGCCTAATCTTTGGTTAAAATTTTGGAGCAGCCCATTACCCATTCAAATTCCCTTGGTCAATATTCCATCCAATTCATTTGAATTTGGTGACATCATTGGTGATGAAATTCCAAATTTGAAAATTTATTTCAAATTTTAGATTTATCAATATTCAAACCAACCTAGCTCGGATGCCAAACCTAAAGGTTTATTAATTTCAAAACAAACTCTAACAACTCTCACTTACTAAATCACCTTCTATCATTACGGAATGTAGTTATTTATGGGTGATCTTGGAGCAACTCTTCAAGACTAGAAAGTTGGACAGACTACTACTACTGGCTGTAAAATATAATACATAATAACATAACTAATGGACGACAAATGTAGGATGGAATATGATTGTTGCTTTTTGTATAACTTGCAAGTGCACAGATCAAGAAATAAAATGGAAGTATTCCAATATCATCTCCCAAAAGATTATAGATTGTAATTGTTGGATGGTTCTCAAGTACCAAAGTTGAAATCCTAGACTCTTATATCTAAACAAATGGATTTGGGGTTCAATTGCAAAATAAGAAAAGAAATATTGAAAACCAATGTGGGTTAGATCTTAATTTCACTAATTGTCACTTGGGAGGTAAAAGACAGAGCCAAACTAGATCTAAGGAAATAATAATTGCAAACTTGAAAATAATGAAAGCTTGACATTGCCAAAAGTAAAAGACTAAAGGGATCAAGATTTATAACATGAAACTTAAAAGCTTGTAGGAAAAAGAGTGGTGGCTGAAATTAATGTTGTATAAAAGAGAACTTAGAAAGCAAGCTTGCATGAAAGCAAATTAAACTAGAAGAATAAAGATGATTGCCGAAATAATGAAGTAAGAATGCTTGAAGAACAAATAAATCTTAAAAAGAAATGCTAATTGTATTAAAGAAAAGAAAAAAAACAACAACTTTGTTATTGGCAAATCTGTCACCTAAGCCAATAACTAAAACTAAAAAAAAAAAAAATAACTAAAGTAAAAAACTAAGAAAGAAAAGAGAGAAAAGAGAAGTGAGAAGTGAGAGATGATGGAATGAGATGAATGGCCTTCCTACTCATAGAAGGGGTTTTGGCCAAGTGAGGGGATAGGGTTGCAATGTTTGAATTTAATTCAAATTCCTAAAGATAATCCTATCTTAATCTTCAAAGTTGCATGACAAAGGTAGAATCCTCATCTAGTGGCTTTAAACCCTAAAAACATGAAAATAACATTAAAAGTACCAAAATCCATCAAAAATTTAAAATTTAGCACTAATTTTAACATTAAAAAACTTTATAATTCTAGGTGCTATCATACCCCCACACTTGAATCTTTTCTTGTCCTCAATCAAAACACTGAAATTAACAAAACTACAAATCATTATACATACTCGTAAAGACAAAAATTACATAAACTTCCTTTCATGCACTATCACATAATACAAAGTTAAATATAAACATAGAGTTACAAGAAATTCCTTCAAAAACAAGCTCCCAATATCTTCTTTTACACGTGAATTTACTCAATCCTTAATTCATGCATATAACTTAAGTAAAAAGACTGTAGAACTTTTTACTCAAATACATAATAGATTTCATATATTCACTTTCCCTTTCCCTCTCCATGAATGTTAGACTTACATACTTGACTTGAGTAATGTACAGCTTGGATCAAAGTAGGAAAAAGGAAATTTAGGCTCAAAACCCTTAGCTTACTTTATTGAAATTTCATGTACTTTGATTTGAACAATTGAAAGCATTTTGAAACTTTGAACATTTGAGGCATCACTTTTATTTTTCACGGCATTTTTTTTTTACTTTAGCCATTTTTGGCTTTATTGGGCTTTGCCTTTAATTTTGCTGTTTTCATTTTTTGTTTTCATTCCTTACGCCTCCTTCCTCCCAAATAGATAAAAATGTCCATAATGTATAAGTAAGCTCAATTGGGTTAGGTAGAAACAAAAGAAGGAATAATAATAAAAGGAACAAGCTCATCGGGATTATTATGTGGTTAAAAATAACAAAGAAAAAAGATAAATGTAACAAGCTCAAAATATAGGTACTAGGGATGCATCATAAAATGTGGGCTTGAAAAACTCAAACAATCCAAAGAAATGCCTAGATCATCTCTTGAATTAAATACAGTCTAAGATTTCACCTTGAGGGTTGAGTAGGTGAATTCTGGAGTACTTATTCTTATCATCAAACTTTTATGCAAATCAACATCTCACAAAATTTTCACAAAAATCATAGCATTTCATTGAAAAAGAATAAAAACAAATGTACAAAAATCATATTCAAAGAGAAACATGCTTAAAAAATTCCTTTCAAGTTCCACCATACTCATAATTAACTTCATATCATACTCAAGTTAATTTTGAAAATATATGTAAAGTTAACTAAATGTGCATAATAATGAAATTTAGCATGCCAAATTGGTTTGAAAGCAAAAATGGGATCACAAATTTTCAAAAAGCATTTAAGTTCACAAAGCATTCTTTCCTCCCCTCTTGCATTTCAAAAATCATAATAAATCAAATCGATTAAAACAAGGGAAAAAGAAATACTCCCCAAATTCACTTTAACATTGAATCATCTTTGGATGAGGCATCATTCTTGCATCCATTTCATCCCTATCAAAACAAACCCAAACAAAAACATCAAAACATACATGTCCTAATAAAAATAAAGAAAACGTAAACCATTAGAGAGAAACTTTGGTTGCTTCCCAAGCAATGCTAGTTTTGGTCAAGCTTGACCATACCTTTTTCCATGGGGTAACATAACTACCCCACACTTAACACTAGCTTCTATCCACTTAATGGTTTTTCTTCTTACCACATCATCAACAAGCTCAACTGGCAATGTGGCTTAATTATTGTGGCTAGATCTCCCACCTCTAGCAATGTCTTCATT